CCCTATTGAGTGAGCTAAATGGCTTTCTATCTCAAAGCAGACTTTTTTTATATATGAGGAAGTGGCAGAGCAAGGGGAGGAGGAGAACAATTGAGCCAAACACTTCATCAGGTTTGAGTGAGAGAATATTAGGAAAATATAATTTTTTCCTGCTACAGGAAAAATCTTCTGGCTCTTGTTTTGAACTGGGTTATAGCAGGCACCATGGTGTGGAGGAATGAGTATGGGTCAGGGAGATGAGAGATCTGCTCTAATTTTTGCTCTGCCACTTATTCACCATGTGTTTTTGAGCAAGTTGCTTCATTTTTCTGTCTCAGTTTCTCCATCTGAAAGGGCAATGGTAGATTTACATCTGTTTTCTGTTTTGACAATTTAATAATCAATGGCTAGCAGTACCCTCAGGCTTACAAAGTTGGGTGTATCTGGGGTAGTCTCTAAAATCATTTGGACATGAAATTATGTGCCTCAGAGTTGTAAAATGTCATAGATTCATAGATTGTAGAGTCGGAAGGGACCATAAAGGGTCATTGTGTCCGATCCCCTTCCCCTGGCAGGCAAGAGGACCGAGGTCAGATGACCCCAGCCAGGTGTCTATCTAGCCTCCTCTTGAAGATCTCCAAGGTCTATCTAGTACCACCTCTCTTGGAAGCCCATTCCAGATTCTGGCCACCCTTACTGTAAAAAATTTCTTCCTAATGTCCAACCTGAATCTAATCTCCATTAGTTTGCCCCCATTATTCCTAGTTACTCCTAGAAGCACTCTGGTAAATAGCGCATCTCCAATTCCTTGTTGTTCTCCCTTGATAAACGTATAGGCGGCTACAAGGTCTCCCCTCAGATGTCTCTTGTGAAGGCTGAAGAAATCCAGATCCCTCAACCTCCACTTGTAGGGTCTTTCACGGAGGCCAATAATCACACGAGTGGCCCTCCTCTGGACCCTCTCCAGATTCTCCGTGTCCCTCTTGAAGTACGGTGCCCAAAACGACACGGTACTCCAACTGCGGCCTAACCAATGCTGCAGAGGGGGAGCGTCACCTCCCCCGAACTGTTGGTCATGCATCTGCTAATGCACGACAAGGTGCGATTGGCCTTGTTGATGGCTTCATTACACTGCCGGCTTGTGTTCATCTTGGAGTCGACTACGACTCCAAGATCCCTCTCAGCAGCTGAGCTGCTGAGGAGGTCATCCCCCAACCTATAGGTGTGCTGGGGATTCCTCCTCCCTAGATGGAGTACCTTGCATTTATCTTTGTTGAATTGCATCCTATTTTGTTCTGCTCATTGATCCAACCTTTCCAGATCAGCCTGTATCTGCTCCCTGCCCTCTGATGTGTTAACTTTGCCCCATAACTTGTTATTATCTGCGAACTTGGAGAGGATGCTGTCCTGTCTGCTTGGCTTTATTAGTGTCTTCTACAAAAATTTTCCTCAGACCAATTTGATCTCTCTGATGCAGCATACAGGATGTGATTCTGCTGTCCACATGGAAACACAATCTCTGGCTTCGTCTCTCTCCTACCCCAACTTTTCCTTATCAGCACAATAGAAATATTCAGAGCAAGCAAGAACCAAATGAACCTCAATGCTACAGAAATAAGTTTATGTAAATCTGCCCACTGGTGTAGATCAATAGGTATTCAGTGGGGGTCTCACCCCTGTAATGAACAAAACAAGGTCTCTTCTGTGTATATACTATCATAGAATGCAATATGCCTATGTCCTGGAATAGTGATATTATATATTAGTGTCTGAACTCACTTTGAGAAACATATGTTAATTTATGCAATGTTTGCTCAGGAATCTTAATCAAGTTCCTTCAACAGAAGTGATGTGTGTGTGTGTTTTCTTTCTGAGGTCTTTCAGCTGATTCCCAGCAGGGCCAATTCACATCTTGAAAAACGTCTCTGCTTTACTTCCAAGTTAATCAATAGTGCAATGCAGATTGAATCGCTGTGTCTACTCATGGAAGACCTCCAACTGCAGCACTCTTTACAATTTTGAGAGATTCCTCCCTGATTATCTCTAAAAAGCTAAAGTTAGTGTCATTTTAGCATTCCCAAATAGCAATTTAATATAATAGCCCTGACTACTGACATTCTGCGTTTGCTCTCCATGTGTTCAGCAATCCAGTAGAGGCTGCACCAAGAAATCTATATCAGCCACACTTCCACTCCGCTCCTCTGTGCCAGTTAGTTCTAC